AATTAAGAACTGAAGAAACGAAAAATCGAAACATTGAAAAACTAAAAATCGAGAAACTTAAAAGTGAAATTAATGAATCGAAAAATTGGAAAGAAGAAAAAACGAATAGAATCGAAAAATAGGAGAACCCAAAAATTGTTAAATTGAAAAATTATAGAATCGTCAAAATTGTAAAGTCGAAAAACTGTAACATTGAAATATGGAAAAATTAAAAATGAAACGTCGAGAAATGACATCCAATAATTGAAAAAGTTCAAAACTCCAATCCTTGAAAAATGGAAACATTCTAAAATCGTAGAATTGGAAAAATGAAGAATTTTAAAAATTATAATTATTATTAGCCACACATTTAAAACGAAAAGTAGAAAAAATGCCAATCAAAAATTAAAGAAACGAAAAATTGAAAATTCGAGAAATTGAAAAATCTAAAATTGAAAAAACGGAAAATTAAAAAAATCCGAAAGTTGAATAATCGAAAAACTGAAGAATCCACAAATTCAAAAATTTCACAATGAAAAAAGAAAAATTATAACATCAGAATATACAAAAACCGAAAAATTGAAAAATCTAAAAATCGAAAAATTAAAAACTGAAAACTCGTGAAATTGCAAATCGCATAATTGCAAAATTTAAAAATTGAAACATTCAAAAGTTGGAAAATCGAAAAATAAAAAAATTTAGATGAAAACTCGAAGAGTTGCAAAAAAAATGAAAAATTGAAAAATTGCAAATCGAAAAATTGAAGAAATAAAAAATTGAAAAATTGTAAGAATAAAGAAAACAAAACATCGAAACAAAAATTTGTAAATCGAAAATAGAAAGAAATGAAAAATTGTAAAATGCAAAATTGAAATGTCGAGAAATTTTATATCGAAAAATTGGAAAAATTAAAATTGGAAAACAGATAATTGTAAAAACGCAATATTGAAATCACGAATAATTGAAAAAAGTAAAGAAACCGAAACGAAAAATTGCAAATCGAACAATTGCAATCTGAAAATTGAAAAATTCATAAAATAAAAATTGCAAAAAATTTGTATAATTTTTCAAAGAAGCCAGATTTATTGGGCTGCACTTCAGAGCCGAGGAAGTTCTGTCGAAAAATTAAACAATCTTATTATAGTTGAAAAATTGGAAAATTGAAAAATATATAAATCGGAAAACTAAAAATTGAAAACTCGTGAAATTGCAATCGAAAAATCGCAACATCTGTAAACTGAAACATCTAAAAATGGGAAAATCGAAAAATTGGGAAATTTAATAATGAAAACTCGAAAAGTTGCTTAAAAAAATTAAAAGTTAAAAAACCGCAAATCGAAAAATCGAAGAAAGGGAAAATTGAAAAAATTGAAATTAGAAACGAAACATTAGAAAACCGAAAAATTGTAAAAATAAAGAAAGTAAAAAACCGAGACCAAAAATTTCAAATCGAAAATATGAAGAAATGAAAAGAGTCGAAAAATTCTAAAATTAAAAATTGAAAGAGCGAGAATTTTTAAAACGAAACATTGGAAAAATTAAACTTGGAGAAACTGAAGCTTTTAAAAATGAATAATTAAAAAGTCGAATAATTGGTAACACAAATCTAAAAATTGTGAAGAACTGAAAAATTTAGACTTCAAAACTCGAAATATTGAAAAAATAAAAAAAAAAAAAATTAAGTCAAAAGCTGGGAGTGTTATTTACGCCACTGCACTGGATTTTCCTTTATAGAGGTTATCAGAAAAGAAAAATCGCGGGATTTATTGGGCTGCACTTCAGAGACGCGGGAGTTCTGTCGAAATAACCTTCCGTCATTTTTTTTTTCTTATAAAGTTATTGGATATCAGTGATCTCAATCGTTCTTGATCTTACGGAACCTTTCCAAGTCGCATTAGTCGACCACATTTAGATTTTATTTGTCTTATTTGCTTTCTCCGTAAACGGAATTCAGATTGAAGCGAATCTTATCATAGAACTGACGTGAAATGCTGATCGGATATGACAATTGTAGATTGTGGATAGCATTTACCGAGCGCGGTAACCGATGAGAGCCAAGATAAGTCGATAAGTCAACCGGTGAACCGGTTCAGAAGTGACGGTCGAGAAGGAGACATCATTAATTAATTTATAAAGCTAATAACAATTCCAAAGAATTTAATGCCGCATCATTCCGTAGAATTTAGTAACAACTAATAAGCAGCTTGAAATAATGAACAAAGAAGCTTTCTATCGCATTTTCCGTACCACTAAAAATTGTAAGAGAACGGGCTTGTTTTTGACAGCCACTTTAAGGATTATTTTTAATCATGCGATATTGCATCAGGACCGGTTTCGAAGAGGACTTGTGATTACGATTTGTTAATTTTGTTGTAGGACGAGGCAAAATATTGACGTCTCTAGAAATGACATGCAACTATTGTTTAGAAAATTATTAAAGTTGTAATAATTATTACATGTACGATATGCAGTCTGGTACAGGATCCGAAGTATGTAGTCGACGAGAAAAGCCGAGATGATTGCATGTAGTGGTGGCCACTTTTAATTTGAATGTCTAGAAATAATTTCTGGCAAAAAACGGCTTTACAACTCACTCATCACCGGATTGTTCTCAGTCGGGAGCGATCGTTTGGCGGTAGCCCGCCATAATAACGGAAATGATTCTTTATGTGACATGTGGACGGGCTAAAGCGGCTTACTTGAGCTTAAAGTCTTCATACCTCCGTCAAGATAAGAAACGATCTTGGAATCACACCCATTTAATTCCATTTGTCGTGTCGTTTTTCGTTATGGTGGGTTGAAATGTGGGGGCAAAACTTCGTGCCGCCTCATTTTGAGATACCGAACACCGGATCTTTATAATTTGCAAAAGATCTGGTTGAGGATTCTGATAGTAACCGAAGAAGGGGGATGGTCAAAGGCGGCCGCTCTTTGCAATCCGACACCTCTTCCGTTCATAATCGCGATGATTGTTGCGGCTCCACCTAAATGCCTTCAAAGTACTTATCTATTGTATGCTACAAAATGTCTTCAATTAAGCGTGTTTATTAAGTGTGCCTGAATGGCTCGAATTTGGGCTCGTTTAAGTGGTCACTCTTATTCTAAAGGTAATAGAAACATTTCTCTAGGGTGAACTTGCGGTGTGACAGGTGTTCTACATTCCACGCATGTTGCCACATGTCTTTTAGGACGAAACTTTTTCGTTTGATTTGCATAATGTGTGTCACTTTTATTAATTATAAAGATGTTATCGTGACGATCGGTTTGTTAATTTATTGTGATGTAATTTTATCAATGTCGTTCCAAATAGATTTCAGGATAAAAATGAGAGTTTACTGGTAGCGGTTATTATCGAAAACCAATTAAATGTCATTACATCGACAAAGAAACGAGATTGCATCTAAATGTTTGTTGAAATTGTTCTGTTGCAATAGTAGTTATGATTAATATTTTGTTTGATCTTGATGTAATTGAGCCCTGACTTATTTTCTTGAATAAACTCGATCAATTTAATTGTCGTTTAGATTGCTGTGTAGATTTTGATAATTATCTGTACGTTATGCAACTCTACATTTTTTTTTAATATCAAATTTAAGCAAGTAAGATAAACCACTTTACAAAGTACATATCCATACAAATGTATGTTTGTTTATTTATTGATTAACGGGATTATTATAATAATAATTAAACGTTTTAATTAAGTATACATGAAAATTCAAATTTATGAAATATAATCGATTGGAGAATAAAATTAAAAGTGAAAATAATACCGAGACAGCAATAAAAGACGCGACAGCCAGGAATCTTTGTCACATTTTCAAGTGAAACTTTCAAACTGACGGTAAACTGATAAAATTAAGAGAAATCACCAGAAATCCATGCCTATATTTGATCGCGTTTTTTATTGCTCTGACGGTACATTATCTAAGTGTAATTACCTTGTATATGAGTTCGACCAACTTCTAGTGAAGAAATTGTTTCTGCATTTTTTCTTTCCAATAAATCATATGGCAGAACCATAAACGAGATGATACTGCGTGAGAGAAAAATATAAAAATTTTAAGTATCTTTTTCGAAAAAATTCTGACAATGCCTCCATATGAATTCAAGCATTTTTTGTACTGATTTATTAAAGTATTAATGTAGAATTGAAAACAGCACCCAAATCTTTCACGTCATCACGATGAACTAAGGTAGAATTACCTCACTATAAGTCAGGATCACGAAGCAATGCGTACACGTCACGGACTCTGTATGACGTCATGCCTCTACCACGTTTATTATACAAATGAATCGGTTTGAAAACTGTCAACAAACATGTCGGCTTGTTATTGTTTTGGTTTGTTCTATTTATGATTATAGCATGAGAAAACCGTTAGTGTGAAGCAACAGTTTAGAAATAAGCTACACTTGCAGTGTTTCAGCATACAAGGGCATGCTGCAGGCTGCATAGACGCTATGAATTACAAACTCAGGCACAGGAAAGATCACGACTGTAACCCCTTTCACGTGTTCCTAGTCACTGAAGCCTGCCACTCACGTTCCAACGCCGCGGTACAATTGTGTAGGATATGACAAAATTGAAGTGTTTTCGAACATCTGTGTATGCGATCAAGCAAATCGGTTGGATGTGGACGGTTGGTGAACAAGTCTGTCTGCAGCAGTACAATCGTGTTGTATTGGTTGGAAACTTAATCGTGTGGGGACAGTGTATGTTATACAAACCGTGAAAGCAGGTATAAAAGTCCATTTTCTTCGGACATGTTGCCACCACGATCGCAAATTTTTAACTGCAAGGTCGTAACGTGTGTGTACTGCTGCTTTTCAGCAAAATTGTACAGCAGTTGTATCCAATACAATCGTACCCCGGCGTTGGAACGTGAATGACTGGCTTTAAGAACGTTCATTTTTGCATTGACTGCTGGTAAAAACTGCTGACAATTGGGTGTTAAACACATACTTGGAGGGTGGTACAAGGCTTCATACTGTATTTAAAGCTGCCAACGAGAATGTTAACATACGTCTCAAACAGACAGCATTGAACAGTTGTGACAGGCTTCAAGTTAGAGAAATATGCTTACCGTCTTCAATGCCACAATAGGCACGTCACATCTACAGAATAAGTTACTTTATTGACATGGAATAGATACAAAAGTAAAGTATAAACAATAATAAGTATGCATGTTACACAACGTCGTCGTCTGACCAGTGATTTGTATATTTGGCCAGTGAAGTGATAGTGTGATTATAAAAGACATCAGCAGAACATGCCGCTAGTACAATCAATTAGGATGGTAATGGAAAATAACCTACATGTTACAGTGGCTGAATGCCCTCTGCAGTATTAGAATCTTCACTGTCATAATCACTAAAACTATAATGTGAATCTTCGTTAATGTCGATTATAAACGGCGCAATCTCTTCACGGTCAAATACTAATTCCCGTTCCCACCACTCCCGTATTATTTTATTCATATGGTCAACAGTATTTTTCCACATTGTGGGCGTGACATGTGCTAACGCTTCTTTCCACATTTCCACGGAATTTTTTGACCATAACCATCACGCCCAATGTGTTTGGAATAAAAATTTGTAGTAATTCCCCAAGTATTTTCTATAGGGTTAAACACACAATGATATGGCGGCAATCGCAATACTCTATGGCCATTCTGTTGGCCCAATTCACGGCAACATACGTTTTTGGTTTATTTCTGAAAAACATGATATTTTAAATGAAATGATAGAGAATAGTATATGCATTACTGTGCAACCAAATGAAGAAGTTCCGTTTTTAACAGCTGTGAATCTGAACTTATGTCATGTTGTTAAAGCCATTCACGAATTTCTGCCTTTTTCCATGAACCACTGGGACATTTGTTTGCAAAGGTACTGTGGTAGCTTGCATTGTCTATAATAATCTGTGGTGGTTCTTCAAGGTTCATGAGCAATTGAAACCACTTGAGAAAATTCTGTTGATTCATTTCGCCATGATAGTCTGGATTTTTGGTATTAGAAGAAAATACTAGCGCTGCTTCATCAATAAATCCATTGCTTGTACCTGCATGTAATACAATATACCTAAAATATAGTGAGAAGAATAAATAACTAACGTGAAACTGACACATTACTAAATTTTCCCTTCTATTTTGAACATCCTGATACTTATGACACTATCGTCTTGCAATGACCTAACTACCGAACCATTTTCAAATATCCATGTTTCATCAAGATATACACATGGCAAAGAATTTGGGTTCTGCTGATTGTGCATGTATTCACGTAAGAATTTGGTTCTTGCATGAACAACATGTTGTAATTCCATAAGACGCTTCCGTACACTGGTTGGCGAATAACGAAACCCAATTGAGAATGTAAAATTTTTCCTAACGAGCTCACAGAACCCTCAAATATATGTTTCTCCTTCAAGCAATCAATTAATGGCGATCGTGTAACATGTATTTCTGTAAAATAGTCGTTAGTATCTATAAGGCGTGCGCATCAAATTCATACTTTCTTCGACCATTCCATATAAGCATTCTCGAATAGCACACTGCTCCGAAGTGCTAATATCACACACTTGCTTTGTTCGGGGGTCTCTATTTCTTGGGAGAATGTACACCTTCTCCGGTTTTTATTTGTTGTACCACGGAGTTCACTGTTCGCACACATACACCCAGAGCAGCAGCAACCCTCTGTACAATGTGACTGCATTAGTAATTGTAATAAAATACACCTACTTACGTCTTGAACAGCTGTTAGTGGTAAAAGAGGTTCCCCGCTATCGCATTCTTTAGCAAAATAGTCCACTAAATTATCGTCCATTTGCTTTACATCTTTGTGCAAGGGCTTCGGCATGGTGGAATGTTTACGTTCAAGCAAGCGACACGTACCACGGTACAGGACAGTTAACTTGGAGTTCTATAAAGAACTGTTATAGTTCTGAAAAGAACTGATACGATTACACGAGCAGAAAAGTAGAAAAACGCGAAAAATCAAACAATAACACAACATAACCAAAGTTGACACCAATGACACTTGTGAAATCGATAAAACTTTAGCATATGTTTCGCTATCAGTCGTACCAATATAATTTCCCCCAAATTGATCGATTTTGATCCGTATTGCCACGTATTGCGGCGCGTATTTTTGATTTAGTGTTGGTAACGGATCTACGTCATCCATGACGTGTACGCATTGCTTCGTGATCCTGAGTATAACAATAAAGTTCAGCATCAATTTTATTTTAAGAAATAATATAACGTGACATTTGTCAACACAAGATGCTAAGATTGTAATTCAAGTGCATCTTCCATGGAACGAACTGTTTTAAACACCTTCAAATAATTAACGAAAACCACCAATCAAGTCAATAATAAGAATGAAAATAACCATGTGAACCCTGCGATAGGCCAAATGGAATATAATAAGAATAATCACCAATTTTAACTTGTTGCGATTTTCTCGTCAGAAATTATGTTAACCATTTGATTATGTTGTTGTTCAACTCTAATTGATTCGATTTAGACATTAATAATAATCTTATCGAAAGTGTTTGAATAATTCGTGTACACGGAATCCACTTGTACTTTTTTATAACAACCTTCATTACAGTAGCGATAATATTCTATTAATTTAGTTACAAGTGAATCTGTGTTTGCAAACACAATGTTGTCTCTTTTTTATTTATTTTTTATGTTTATTTATTCGACTGTAAAAAGTCTAGCTTTTATCGAATATGGTTAGCAAGTCCCAGGACAACAATTTAAACCACAATTCGCTTGAGAGCAACTCACATCGAATAATAATGGATTTCGTCTACGTGAATCAACCATAATATGCTATCGCAAAACCGTCTAAAACTTTTTAGTTAAGGCATATGTATTTCAAAATGGAGTTTTTAAGTCCCAAAAATCAAAAGAGAGAATAATTTTTATAAATAGTAGATTTATACTAAATTTAAAACTTCAAACGTACGTGTTTACTAAATGGTTTGTGATTTTTTACTAATTTCGAAATACTGTGACAACCAAATCAGCATGACAGACATTGACCTGACCTGACTAGACCTTTTTACTTCCCGAGCGTAAGCGCAAGTATTGCAATCGCGCCCGTTTCCGTCTATCTGTCTGTCTGTCTGTTCGCCTGTCTGTCTGTCAGTCTGTCTGTCTGTCCGTCCACCTGTCTGTCTGTTTGTCTGTTCGTCTCTCTGCCGTCTCGATTTTCTTCTTAGGGGAGGAGAAATCTTCAAAGGAGTCTGTTACTTTTTATGTCCACATCATTCTTGTATTAGATAAAATAAGCATCAAACTTTTACGTCCTTACAAATTGTCAAACAATATTTCCATTTCCGTGCTACCCATGGGTGCGTCTAGGTTGTCTTTTTTAAAATCTATCAGAATACCCTCACACGTTCTTTTTAGTGTCTCTATTTGCATGTAGGCTTGGGTATTCTCATGTATTTATTATTTATTTATTATACTCGAAAACAGTGTGCTCCAGAGTATCTTAGTTTAGCTCCTCTGTTTATCCAGGGTTCCATTTTTTAATTAGCTGTTTTGTCCAGCAATTTTTGTCCGTCTCAATTCACCTTTGTTGCCAATTTTGCAGTACGAGTACATCTCTTCTCACCATGGTTCTACTTTTACTCTTGGCTATATTCTTTTTTTTTAACAGTTACGGCCAAGTATCTGATTATCCTCTCCAACCTTTTCTTATAATTATTAACTTTCCAGACTTTCTCCTAACCACAAGTTCCACATATACATCCATCCTGAGATTTTTGTCCAGATTTACGCCTCGATATTTTAATTGTCTTTCTGTTTTGGACTGAAAATTTTCTCCAATCTTGATTTCTAGTTCGGCAAGTTTCCCATCTTTTTCAAATTACATCTTAATCCATTATTTAGTTGTTGTTTGACTAATTCAATTGTTTCTTTGGGTCTTTCTTGTAGTCCTGGTTTCTTCGGGACATTCTATTTTTAAAATTTTATCCTATATAATGTTCCACAATATTGGGCTGAGTACTGAGCCTTGTGGGACCTCGTATGTTATTTTATATGGGGTGTTCAGAAATTTGTGCACTATATATGCAAAAAGCTATCCTAAACCATCTATCTGGTGAATACTGCAAAAATATATAAAAAAAAAATGTCTTACCCTTCTTTCACTCATTTCACTCTTGTTGCAATTAAACACCAAACTGACAAAAATTTCTTCAAATAATAGTATGAATAAAGAAATTTTATAAAAATGCACCAAAATGTGATTGGACCTATTGGGTTAGCTCAGTTACAGTTAAACTAGGAGTATAACACAATTTTGAACTGTGACATCTGAAACCATACGGATCTTTCAGTAGATTACATTTTTTACTTATTTCTCCATTCAGGCGTGTTGTTATCAGTTTTTCTGATAGCTTATAGACCTTACTTGATCTGACCTAACCTAACCTAACCTAACTAAAGATGTGTACAATAAAATAGTGTTTCCAGGTTGGAATTTTAATTGTTTTATTACCTTCGTTTATAACATTTTTAACGTGATAATTGAAATACTAAATTTGTACTAAAATTAACACCCAATTCACTAATAGAGTTAACAGTTTCAGCTTCTATGTTTTCTACAGAATGTAATGGAACTGAAGATGTCTTTTTAGGTGTATATTTATTAGCCTAATATTTACTAACGTGTGACTCAGTGTTATTGAACTTTCACATTATACGAAACGTTCGCAGAATTAAGGTCTTAAAAACAATTAACGCCATGAAATACCTTCATTTCATTGACAGAAGAAGCAGAAAACAACAGTTAACTGAAAATGAGTAATAAATAGTAAAAAATCTTAAATGACCCAAGTCAAATCCTTGGGGTACTCCTTACCTAACGTATATTAAACACAAAAATATTTAGTTTTTGCCGTCGATTTATAAAATACGATTTGATCTAAGTTAATGGATCAGCGGTACCAATTTTTTCTCTATTTTTGCAACAATTGCGTGTAACTAGTGTCTTCTCGTGACCTTTTGAAATGGGGGACACAATTTGATTGATGAATTAAATATGAAGATATAAAACAGGTTGTTATTACCAATTAATAGACGAAATTGTGTGACGGAAATAAATATAAAAATATATCCAATAAAAATAAAAAGGGTTTCTCCACATACCTTTTTGCTTTCGTTCAAAATTTTACGTTCATGGCATCTAACATTTTGGACAGTTTTAGGTGTTCCTTTAAAAACCCTTGCTTATTTCAAATGATCTGATAAAGCAGAGTCCAATTCAGCCATAAAGTCAATCAGACCTTGAAATATAGCTGGATTTTGTGATTCCCTACTTTCGTCATATCCACGTAAAGCAAATTCAGACACTCCAAAAAATTTAATTGGCGTAATACAGGGTGTTATTGAAAGGTACGTACAACAAAATTAACAGTTCTTCTCGAAGTCTAAGAAGTCTGAAAAACTTATTTTGTGTTATCAAAATTATAAGGGGAAAATTAACCCTTATCCAACTTTTTTAGACGCTACTGAAGGATAAATAGGTAAAATTAATTTATTTTAGTAAATCCTAGCAACTGTAACCATAAAACTTTTGTCAAGACTAAAAGTTGCTTTAGAAACGAAAGATGATCTTTTTATCAGAGGCGTACAACGAATTTGGGCATAAATTTTAATAATTTTTATTTCTGAAAGGAGAACACTTTTACCTGAACTTTTTTTTAACTTTTATCACCCATACTTCGAGACCAATTGCCGATTTTATTTTGTACGTACCTTTCAATAACACGCTGTATATGGGGATTTTTGTCGACCCTTGCGTTATGTGCCCGAATATTATTAATATAAGCAGTGTTTCCGAATGTCTGTATTACCGAAAAGATTATCCAAGAATATTTATCATACGCAGAATGAAAAGAAAAAACCCGCGATAGTAACTCAATCCTGCCGAGCACTGTCGAAACGGGACCGCAATTCAGGTGAATCAGGCGGCTACGACGTGGGGTTTCCATGGCAGCGGTGTCAACAAAACGTCTAAAGCAGCCATGATTCGGTCTCTGTTCCCGGCTTTTATCAGCATTTCATCAGAAATAACATATCATGTATCCAAGACACATTTTTAGATGTAAGTGGATGTAAGTTTTGATACATTTTATATAAGTGGAGCGAGATAAAAAATTAGTTTTGATAATTATGACACAAATTTCCGGATAATTTTTTAAATACTAATTGAAAATTACTATTTTGCTATGTCCACTCTGTTTGTAGACGTTGTAATTTTGGGGGGGTACGTGCCCTTGTGCCCCCCGGCACCAGCCGCCCCTGAGTGTAAAAGCGACAAAATTCTTACTTTACTAGACTCTCCAGTGTATTAACTGAGGCCTCGTAAATTGCAAACACCACAACATGATAACTGTTTTTTTTTATCTAGAGTTCTTGAATAAGTCATAGTATATGAAAACATGTACGATTCTCATTAACATGTATTTTAAAGTCACAAGAAGAAGCTTCTCGAACTGAAAAGAAAGAAACGTTTTTAAGTTTGCAACCTAGGATGTTTTAAAAGTTCTTTCAGAATTTTTTTTAATCACATGGTTGCTACATTACAAGCACGAAATTACTGAAGACAGTCTTTTCAGCGACTCAGAATACGTTGAAAGAATGACAAGTCACAAGAAGAAGCGTCTCGAACTGAAAAGAAAGAAACGTTTTTAAGTTTGCAACCTAGGATGTTTTAAAAGTTCTTTCAGAATTTTCAGGAACAAACTTCGATTATTGGTATGGGAGTTCTGTTCAACTACGTGAATTTTCAAAAATTTGTGTACCTATAGCTTTTTTGTTTAATAAATGTGGGACTAGTGAGAGTCTAGCTTCTCACCAGGTGCAAGCGGCACTAAAATCTCTTAGAAAATATATTTACTATTTGAATAGAAGAGGCGGATATCTGTTACCTACCTACTACACACCTAAATCAGGTGATACTTTAATATGTTTTAATGGTAGTACCAGACAGTTTGTTATCCTACATAATTATATCAGTTCCGTACATAAGAAAATTAAATTAACAATTGAAATGGAAAATAATAAATGCATCAGATTTTTGTTATAGATCATACAATTAGCCGTCTAACAACTATCATGAACTTATTGTCTTCCATAAACCCACACACACAAAAACAATTCACATCCATGGAGTCATAAACTTGCAGCATATCAATC